TGTACAATAACATATAACCCTTATCACTTATCTCACGTTATTTAATTATGAATTATTCTATCCATTTAATTTAGTTTTATATAGTTCCTATAACCTTCTCATAAGGTTTTATAGTTATTCATTTTATAACTTCTATATCATAGTTTTCTTTTAAGCATATCACTTTTTCATATAGTGTTTATCCTATAGGTTCGTATCATCGTTATGCTCATGTCCCCTAATTTATATATACCATTTTCATAAAGTCTTTTAATTTATTATCTTCTGATTAATATATTATTCTCTTAAGTATTCTCATATTACTCTATAGTCTGGTCTTATTTAACTCATCACCCATCTCATGTAGTCATAAATATATTATATTGATTCTCATAATTGATCATCTATACCCTGTAACATGTATGGTCATCTATCATATAACTTATTTCATTTCTCATGCAATCATATAGATCATTCATATTAGTTCTTATAACTGATCACACTACATGTATTCACACAAATCATTTAACACCTACTGTAATTTATATCATATATACTCAAATCAAACATATACATATGATCATAAATTTATACATTCTAATATAGGAAATAGACTCGTCGCAAGTCTTATTTCCATTAAACATCATAAACTAACTTGTATGCACTCACCTAGGCCTCGTTTGCTTTGAATCAATCATAATCCTTAGTTTGTTCTGGAACAAGCTTTCATTCTATATCTACATAATAATACATTTATACTTATCAGTATACTAATTAATATATTCGAATCTATCACTCCTTAGACTAAGAGAAAAGCCAATTTCATCTTTTAATGAAGGTATGCATCGATGCACTGTACAATGTATCGATGCATTCCCTAACGATGCATCGATGCACTACTTGTGCATCGGTGCACAAAATACATTCGATGTTTGTATTTTAAAAGAGTGCATCGATGCACTACCTGTGCATCGATACACCTTCAAACAATTTATGGGTTTCAACCTTGATGCATCGGTGCACTAAGAATATGCATCGATGCACTCTGCCCAGAATCCTCTTTTTGAACCCGAAAATTCATTCTTTTTGGATTAAATTCTTCATATTCCTCCCTTTTCATATTCCTAACTTACATATACATACTTAAACTCCTTAATATTCATTTATCTCATCTTTAACCTCAAAATTCCATCTTTCATATGGAAATCAATAATCATACCCAATTTTCTATGTTATCCAAACTTAATTCTAACGCTTCTAACTTCTTATTCTTATAGATGGTAAGTCAAATTCATCCTTTAAATTCATTTAAACCTTCTTATTCAAAATTTCACTTAAAACCCCATTTTCTTTAATCTCTTCTAACATCTTCATCTTTGAGTTTTCACTTATCTTTAGACTTCTTTAAGCTTTCTTACTTTCCAAAGAATCAAAACCAACTTAGAATTCAAATAATAATCAACTAATAAAAATTCTCACCTTTGCTCTTGGCTTCCACGCGTGAAAAGAAAGGAGTAGAAGAAAACTCTGGAAACTCATTTCCCTCATTTCCCACGTTTTTATATCCCCTAAAAGAGAAATAAAAATCTTCTCTTAGAAAAGACCATAATACCCTTATTACTTTCAAACTTTACTATTAAATCCAACCTCAAAATTCTCCAATTAAAATTCTAAACTTTTAATTTATTTCGAAATTGAACACAATGCTTTCAAAATTCACCTTTAGGTTACTAGCCCGATATTGAGGATGTTACATGGATACTCTCCAAATTTTCCTCCTTTATATCTGGTATTCGGAGATGTCATAGTGGTCTGTCTTTGTATGTCGTTGCCTCAACTGTTCATGTTTTTGCTCATCAGGCTGTCACTAGTCGCTTATCATTATATTTTATTTATGATTATCCTGATTATATATTTGATATTGTTTTACATAATACCCTTTATAACTAATACAATCTACGTACCTTTTAAAAAACTATTAGTCACCCTCTAACTTCTGTTAGATTTTGTTTTTAATTGTTGATATTGTGACTATAAAAAATAAAATAATCTTTGCAGTCTTTATATTTATAATTTTATTAATTTGATACTTAATCTTTAAAAATAAATAAAAATCATCATTAATTAAATAATACATTTTTTCAATAATCTAATTTGTAACTTTTTAAGGTTTAAATCGATAAAAGTTATAAACAAGAGGACTTAAACTCTAGTTTTGGGTCCAAATTCCAATTTACCTTTTTTTAATATGTTTATTTCTCAAACTCTAGTTTCCCCCTTGCGCACCACATTATTATTCATCTTCTCTGTCGTCGATCACTGGATATATCTGATTCTTCTCTATCGTCGATCATGAGGCATATTTGATTCTTTATATCTAATCTACTTTTTTCGCCTGTTCTTTTCCGTCTTCTTTGATTTCCACTCAGATGATATTCTCACAGGTTGGTTCTTCACCCCAATCCAATCTTATCACTATACCATGTTGGTATGGTTACTGGTTTCCTTTTTTCCCCAAGTTATCTTCCTTCCCATAGCTTGAATTTTGTCCTATGATCATTGTAACATGATGAATTTCAAGTGATTTAGGATTCATTGCATCGCATATAGGCATAGAAATGAATCATAATATACTTTTATATAATCTTATTATGCATAGTGATAATTGTAAGGGGGTGTAGCATATATCATATGGCTAATGGAATATTTGAGGTTGAACCATTGTTGGATGGAGTAGATAGGGAACTGAACTCTATGTTGTTCATTATAGTTTATAATGATTAACACAGCCACAAACGTTGCTCTCTCTGATTCAAGTTTCAGTATTTTAGTGATTCTCGATGGCTGATAATCGGAATAGGAATGTCAAGCCTGTAAGTCACAAGCCACCGACGGTTGCTGCTGCCAACCCCTTCACTATCAATCTGGATAACTTCAGCAAGCGGTTGAAGATTTTATATTTGCATTGGAATAAACACAGTCAGCCAGTACGTTTACATGTGTGTGGCCTGTGATACGTTGCATGGTTTCAAAAATTGAGTGCCCCACGCATGAATACTATTCAGGCCTGTCTATGTACAACATATATGCCCTAACAACATTTTCGTTTAAACGAAAACAAACTTTTCGTTTGGTTCTCGGGAAAGTAACAGAGAGAATTGCAAACGAAGATTTTGACAGTATCTTTAATCGTTCTTTACAATCAATTTTGGTAAAAAGACCTCGTAGATTCCTCATAATTTTTAAATTTAATAATTAATCCGTATTATAAAATATTTTTAGAATCTCATCTTAAAAAGTAACACAGTACTAATCTGTGGGACGATTCTAGTGCTCTGCTCATTTGGACTCCCCCTGTTTCGCAGGTACTTGAAACCTTCGGCACTAAATATTTTGTTGGTAGGCTATGAAATTCCAGAGACCCTTATGGTTTTCTTGAAGAAACAAAGCCATTTCTTGTGTACCCATTATGAAGTTGATTGTTTCATGTTCATTTGGTGATTGGCGACAGAAAAAGATAAATAGTAATGGGGTGTGTGACGCAAGTGAGAAATTTAGGTTTCAGCAAAACATATTGAAAAAAGGAATACAATAAAATGTTATCTCTAAATTATTTAGGTTTATAAGAGAGTTTATAATTAGTATTTTATCTGAAGTTTAGAGTTAAAATAAAATTAAACTCTTTTATTATCGCGTCACATCATTAAATTAACGATATTTAATGTTCCCGTTAAGTTAGTGTTTAAAACATTGTGTTGGCAAGTCAGTGTTTAAAAGCAACAGTGGTGTCCGTAGGCATCACTAAAATATGATTTTGTAATATTTCAGTCAATATATTGACGTCCAACTCGGACAAAAGTCAATTTTTTAACATAAAGTGATGATTTTGGAACATCTGAATAGTTGAGTGACCATTTTATAACTTTTAATAGTCAATGGACTCAACAAAACATCTTATAATCGTGAGATCATTTTATAACTTCTAATAGTCAAGGACTCAACAAAATAATATTCTATAATCCAAGGATTATTTTTGTACTTTACCCTTCTTTCTAATAATTCACTGCAAAATTCTGAGTTACCTTCAAAGTGAAAAATTGTGTATGAAAATCCTGACAGATTATTGAAAGTGAAATCCATTTTGTAGTGAAAATGAAATCAATAAAAAACCATTAACCGGCATATTTTTACTTGGCATAACTGAACCAAAATACCATATATCTACTTGTGAAAAATAACATCACAATTATTGAACTCTCTTATTATTAAAAATTATAAAAAGGTCTTTTGATTATATGATATTTTGTTAAGTGTCTGTCTATTAAAAATTATAAAATGATCACTCGATTATTTGTATGTTCAAAACTTGCTCTTTTCCATTAAAAAATTAAAGACCATACGAACTGAAAGTTATAAAAGTACGAGGGGATAAAAACATTTTTCATTAGAAAATACATAAACAAATCTAAAATATATTATAATTTTAATTTTTCAAAAGAGACGATTACCCCACCCGCCCCCTCCAATCCATCCCTATTTGGATTATCTAAGAGGTTTTATGTAGAAAAAAATGAAATGGGAAAAACATTTGATTATCATTGGCCATGTAAAAATTTCCTATGTTGAAATGTAAATTATATTAATTTTTTATCATGTATTTAAAATTTACTTTTAAAAAAAATACATTTCATATATAAATTATATTAAACTTGATAAATAAATTATATCAATCCCTTAATATGTATTTAAAACTTATTTTTTAACAAATATTCATGTATAAAAATATTAATGATGAGCTACCATGACTTTTTATTTGATTTTATTATTATTTAAATTGATACATTTCATCAACCTTAATCCAATTAAAAATGAACTCTTCTCTTTTTGTTAAGCTGTCCCGTTCAAATAAGTAATTATTTTATTATAAATCAAACTGAACGATGAGAAAACTAAAACAGAAGAATAGTTTACCGAATATATTACTTAGCAGACAACATTCATCTGAATTCTGAAACATGTAAAAGGTTGATCAAGTTCAAATGTCCTAAATACAACTTAAACACAATACTTGCTTAATGGACAACTAAAGTTACCTGGGAAAATATTGCAGCAAGGCCACTCTACTTTTCGAAAATTTCGGTTACTAGTGTCATTGAACAGATCAGTAGATTACAAGTAGTTTAATCAACAAAAACCGGAAAAACGGCAATGCAGCATGTTAACAGCATTCCCTGGAGAAAATCAGTAGGGGTCTTTCAGCAGCTATCCGTCCATTAAACCGCTCTGTTGATCAAACAGCAATCAGCATGGGAAGAGGATGGGTGACGGGTCTCTCTGCAACTTCCCGTCGCACAGATCTAGTTTTTTAATCTTTTCTTCGCACCAGAACAACTGCTCTTTACTGATCTTTTCCATTCTGAGAACCCGGGATATAATCTTGACGTCAATGAGACCAAACAACAACGGAACATCTTCAGGTGTTAGTGGCCAGGATTTCTTTTTCCACCCTTTCCTCTTTTTACGCAGTTCCTTCAGCTTCATCCCTTTCTGCAGATAGAAAATAAAACATTGTAGGACATCATAGGTTATAACGAGCAAATCCATATGGTTGGTCGTATGAACATCGCCATTTCCTTGACCGATGAGAGATGCATGTTTGAATGTGTCGAATATGGTGCCAGGCACAAACAAGGAAAATGAAGAGTCGATGCAACATATTCGAATACAAATAATGCAGGTGATGGATTAGTAAAGTGATGTCTGTAGACCAAAAAACTTGCATAGATCAAAGCAAGCAAAGCAAATGAACTACTGATAATGAAGGGGCAGGAGTTGATCTGCAATTCACATGGAACGTGATAGTCCATATAGCTAGTTCGAAGTGTGGTACTGCAGGCCGTGCTGTGTAATCAAGTGATTCTAGGAGATGAAATGGATAATGTAGAATGAAGTTACCTTTTCTAATAAAGATTTAACTTGTTGAAGAGGGGTAGCCATCGGATTCTGATTTCCGAACAAAGTATGTTTTTTCTTGTCAATTTTTACAAACAGATGGAATGTAAGGATTACGCTCTCAATAATCCTGATGATATCAGGAGCAAAGACCAAATAATCTGATTCATCTTCCACCTTAGCCTTTTGATCCAAACCTGAAATGATTCGGAAAATTAACCTAGAAGCAAAAGATATCAAATTTTCCTACTTTTGCCTGATCGATCCTCAAAGATTTACCTTGTATGTTTGGAATTTGAAGCAGCTTAGGCAAAACATGCCTAGCACGGGCATATATTTCAGCTCTAGGACCATCCTGAAAAGGTTCATTTTCGATGAACCTTTGTAATAAGACGTGGAACTGTTGAAGGAGCTGAGCACTGTGGTTGTAACTAGCGGGATTATCGGGTTGGCACAAAACTAATTGGCTAAGTTGTGTGTATTGGCAATGAAATGCTTCCCATGTTAAGCTAATTTGAGCTACATATGCTACCTCAAGGTCATGATACGGATCATTCGTTGATTGCTGCATGTGCCTGGTTTCTTCATCGGGTTCTTCGATCTTCTTCAAGGAAAGGCAACTAAGAGGTGATGCAAGTTTCTTAGATCCAGATTTTGGTGAAGGATTTATAGAGCCTGTAAGCCAATTGATTATTTGCAATGAGAATTAAGGATTTAGCACTAACAATAAAAACTACAATGCTAAAACTAAACAAAAGGGTGAAAGCGACTCCCAAAAAATACGAAAAAAAGAATGACACATCTATTCTATGCAACAGCACAAGTAAAAAACTTTTATGCCCCAATGATCCTACAAGTTAGTACTATACTTCTTGGAGGAAAAATTTTTTGAAGAAAAAAGGACACTGCCAACAAATGTATTCATTGTTTCTGCATCTACCTGTGCTGTATGATCTCATCAAGACAGAAAAATGTATCCGATTCATGGACATAAATAAGGTAACAGCCTGAAGGCAAAGAGTGAAGTAGGAAAATGATAAAATACAAAAAACGACCGAGTATGACAGCAATTAACCTAGGATTGATCCCTATTCCCAACATTTAAGTGAACCATCACAAATCAAAATGTATTGAGTTCCGGGAAAATACTTCTAGATCTGTAGGATATAATAGAAATTGGTAATTTAGAATAAGGTCAAGAAACCTGGTTCTGAGTCTAAGCAGATGGCATCGCTCAATAACCCAATACTCAACATAGTTGCATTCCTCGCAAGATGGTTCGAGTTTACTGATTTAACAATATTGTTTCTCAAGTAACTTGAAGGAGACTCATCACACTAAGACTTTATATATTTGGGCATCCTAAATTGTTCTTCATGCTAGTGCAAAACAAAATTCAACTTAGAATTAAAATTTTCAATCAATCAGGAAACAACATATGCAGCTAACAATATGTTCATTCCGTATTAAAGGTTAGTAGCTCGCTTCATACGGTATAAGATTCAACAATGCAACAGAGAAAATGGAAATATTTACCAGCATTCTTGACCTGCTGTGCAATTATCCTATCAAAGAACAGCATTCGCTCGCAATACTTTTCATAAACGGCATCAAACCCACCCCACCATTGTCTGCCTTCTGCTTCCACATCCCTCCACTCACTCGAGCTGGTTTCACCAGCCTCAGCTTCGTCCTCGAGGTACAGCTCCTCTTCTTCCTCCTCCGGAATCAACACCATAAAACTGTTTCTTCTTAGTTCTTTCAATCTCCTCTTCACCTCATTCGTTATAAAATCATCATCATCGTCATCCTCGACGTCGGCTGCAGTAAGAGCAGGTTTGGAAGATCCATTTACACCAATGTCACCACCACCATTATCATTCTTCGGTTCTTCTGGTTGTGTCACATTATTATCCGCCAAACCCTTCTCAGGATCTGGCTTGTGGACTTTCCTAAACTTCTTAATTTTCAAAAAATCCATCTCTTACACTTTCTAGCAGCCAACTAAAAATTAAACCTCTAGATCCCAGAATTATACCAAGATACTTGGCAACTTTTTAACTAAACAACAATATTCTGATTCCAGAAAATGTAAAAAGCTTTGGTTAGAAAAATGTCAGACCTTCAAGCCAAAATGCCAAGTGTAAAAACAGTTACTTGAGCCACAGAATGTCTAGAAGTAAAATCCAGACTCTTTGAACATAATTTAAGCAAGCAACTGATGAACTAACCCTGAAGATCTCACCTTAAAACAAGAAAATCAACTGAATAGCTTCTTAGATGCAATTGATACATGAGAAGAAGCAATTAAACAGGGGAGAAAAAAAATTATTCCTCCCTCAAAACCTTTAAAAACAGCAATGCAGCAGAGACATTCACTTCAAAACTTCCATTAAACCCTTAAATCCTCCCAAGTTATGTGATTTCCTCAACATTGAAGCTTTTGCAAAGGAAGCACGTCACTAAGCAACTAATCAAAAAATACAAGCATAAAAACCCCAAAGATCGCCTTTTTACTAGGATCCAAGTCCCCAGCAACAGAATTTACAGTGACGAAAAGTTCAAACCCGACACCCCCAAAGCCATGAAAGAAAAAAAAATTGAAATCACAAGTGTTTTACTTCAGCACTTCAAAATAAAAGTCAGACATTTGTAACCGAAAAATACACTTGATGGAAAAAACCCAACAAAGTTTCCAATCACAACAAACTTAAATCAACCACAGTTTTAACCCACTTTTTTTAACAGCCCAAAAGCTTATTTTATATTTAATAAAAACCAAAGACCCACGAGAAAAATCTGTGAACAGTGAAACATAAGCTACATATAAACACAAGGTTGCCTTTTTGAAAGAGAAAAACACTGCAATGTGTACTAGTGTGATGAGTGAGGAGGGAAGAGTGATATTTCTCTTTTTGGGGAGTAGAAAAGAGTAATAAATGTCAAACAATCCTAATAAATTGTTCTTTCATCTTCACTTTCTAGCCTTTTCAGATGCAAATGTAGTTCCGTTTATAAATTAAATCAATCAAGAATTAAATAATAATTCTGGGTTAAATTAGAACATTTCTTTATATAAAGAAAAGAAAAGATAAGCACGAGAGCCAAGAAACAGTGAGGGAATATTGTCAGAAATGAGTAAGAAAAAGCACCAACTCTCTCTGCAACTAAACCAAGGCCCCGCCAAATCTGGGCTTCTTTGATTAGTGCGCCTTTTTCCTGTTTCCCCATTTTACCCTTCCTTTCTTTGTTTCCAAAAAAAAAATTCCCTCCGCCAACTTTCTCAATCTGTTTTCGGACTGCATTGCGCTGATGCTGCTTGGATTTGATTCTGTCTACTCAATCCTCGTCTAACTTGATGCAAAAGTTTTAAATCTTTTAAATGAAATTAGTTTTAAATTTAAATATTCCAGTTTCGAATAAAATACAAAAATAATTCAGGGTTATAAAATATTTTTTATTTGGTATAAGAGTATTTAAGCTCTTTATACTTTTTTTAAAAAATATGTCCTCAAATTATTTTTACATTAAATATAACACTCAAATTTTGAAAAAAAATCTAATATGATTCTTTAACCAACGATTTATTTCGTTGACTTACAATATTAACGTGTTGATTTACGGTAATTGATGATGTGATAAATAATATAAATTAAATTTTTAATTAAATTCGATGACCAAATTTATTTTTTAAGTTCAAGGGCTTTTTAATTTTTTTAAATAAAAATATTTTAAATTTTATATTAAAAATAAATATAATAAAATATCAAAAATTAAATTGCTAAAAATTAAAAATATATATTATTATATTTTACACTAAATTTAACCTGATTTTTATTTATATAAATTTAAACTCGTTTATACTACACAAATTTTATTTTATATATTTACCTCTAATTATTTTAAATTCCAAATGCCTTTCTAATTCATTTCACTAAGGGATCGTTTAGTTCGGGAAAAATATCATTACCAGTGAATAATCTTTTTTCAGAATCACATGCTCACATTTAGTTTAAAAACATTCATTTCCGAGGTAATGACGTATTTCCTATAATAGCAATTTTGAGTCTTTTTTCCGAGAATGTCAATCCCTCCAATTTTTTTTTTTTATGTATTAGCTAATTCTCTCCCCTTAGAATAATGATACCCCTGAATTTTTTTTCTTTTAAAAATAATCATTCCTTTTATTTGTAATTACAGGAGTATAAATCTATTTTTTATGCACTTGTTATAAAATAATAAGATACATATAAAATAAAAGTATATCAATTTTTTACTTTTTATTATGTTTACTTTTTAGGATTATTTTTCTATGTACATTTTATTATGTTTACTTTTTAGGATTAATTTTTATAAAAACTTATATAATATTTTTTATGTTGCTATTAGTTTTGTCTAATTATTTAATATGATATTCTATTGTACAACTCATACGTGTAGTATGAATAAAATAAAAAAATTGTATCGATTAACACATACATATACCGGTGTAAGTACGTACATATCACAATATCTTAATATCTAAAAATAAACATATAATTATACTGACGTAAATATGTTTCTATATTTTATAAAAATAATAAATAATAAATATATATATATAATAATTTTCTATGAACTCTCGTGTAAATATTTTGACTTTAATATTGAAAATTCAACTTATTAAAAAATATATTTCAAGGATAATTTGGTACAACATACATTTTTCTATTTTATATTCTTTCGACCAAACACTGTAATCTTATATTCCTACCAAACAACATAATGCAACATTACCAAACATAATATAACATTTTAGTAACATGTTGAGTAATATAACATTTCGTAATTTTATTCCCAAACATAATATTATAATCCGTGAATTAAACGAGGTTAAGGGTAAGATAGTTGTAAGTCCTAAAATTCAAACCCAAACCTATTGGATTACACCTTAAATAGGTGCATGAACCCACCAAATAAAATTCCAAAATAATGAGGAAAAAAGTTTTTCTTTCAATTTTATGGTATACATTCCAATATCGAAAAGCATATATTTTGTAAAGCAATAACAAACATTACAGAACAATGGCAACAACTGTAAGGTAAAATATTATACTTTAAAGGACCATACTCTTCTAAATGACAAAAGCAATATATATGAATTAAAAACAACGAGGAAGATGTATGGATTACAATTTCAAAGCAGCAATTGCTTCAGGTTTGAAATCAACCCTCAAACTCAGAACTCTCCTAACCTCTGCTGGGGTCAGTCTCCAGGTCATAGGTCCTGCGTTTTCGCCCCAGAAATCCAGAATCTCTGAGACCTTTTCCAAGTTGAGGATGGTTGCCATCTGCGTAAGACGAGCGAATTTGTCTCTCACGGTCCTCTGCGTCATCCCTGAAAAATGGCTTACCAAAGCTCGGGTATCTCTGTCAAGCTGAAGACCGCCAAGTTGACTAAACCGTTTCTGCATCATAATCACTTCCAGGCCTTCCAGCCTCTTCACAATGAAATCGATCACCAAATGCACGAATGAATCATAGTTGTTTGTAGTCATTAGGGGTTGAAGCCAAGCCACATTGATTTCAACAGAAGTCTCTGTACCCATGGATCATTCACCTCATTCTCAGCATAGTCACTCTCTGATAGCTCATAGCTGATGGATGCTACACTGTCTAGTACTGGACGGATTTGAGGTGTCACAGTAGCCACTAATTGTTCCATTCCAGCATTCTGGGCTTGCTTGAAAGTGTTGCTTAAGTCAGACAACTCAGACAAACAAGATTTTACCCTTTCCCTTTCAGTTGGTGCAGGAAAGACCTGAAGAGAATGAAAACAGCATATAAAATCCAGTACTGCGCACTTACCCCCTGTTTTATTTTAATTTCATTTATACCATGCTTTATTGACTCATTTCATATCATGGACCAAAGAAAAGAAGTTAAATTCAAAATCGGCAGGGTATGCCCAGCAAGAAGCAAAGAATTAGCACCAAAAGCTAGCCCAAGAGAAACAGCCTTAGAAAATTATCAAGTTCTTACTTGCATTATATTCAACAAGATGACATTCTCGTACTACTCTTCAGGAACTTTTGGATACATTAGCGCTAACCATTTTACTCTTACAATGCACAATTATAAGATAGGTTATGTAGCTTGAAACATTAGGGAAACAAGTTCAATTTTGAAGCCATTGTTGCAAGGGGCACAAGGCACACTCTAGGTGCTAGAACACTAATATTGCCAGAGTGAAAACTGCCAAAAAAGAGTGTCCTCCTGGGTAAAGTAAGGCGCAATATGTATGTGCATATGTCTGTGTATGTATATAAAATAAGCTTAAGATATATAATTATGTCAATGGACTCTGAATGGCCCAATATATTAGCAAAACATGCAAAATTTCCTTTTCCTTTTGCTAGCCAATATGCATGGTTCAGTTTTGGTCCCATCTTGGCTGCTGAATACTCAAAATTAAGAAGTAGAGAGGTTTGTATCATCGTCTTTCTTATTAGTAAACGCAAAATTAGTAGGAAAAAAGTTACAAGTAAAAGAAATTAAAGACCACCAATCAAGCAGGATTGTTTTTGGCTTCTATTGCCTTGCAAAAAACACGTCACACTTTCTTGCATATCATTCAAAAAGGAACATTGAATCAAACCTAGAGTATGGTCCTGATGATTTGCATGCCACCTTTAGGCGGAAGACTTACTGTTAACCTGGGGTTCTATTGCCAGCTCCTATGTATCCCAGAAGTCAGCCTAACACTTGCAACAAAACTCCCTAAGTTATCAGAACATTAGCCAGTTGATACAAACATGAGATCATTATCCAACCCACCATTTGTGGTTAAAAAATATAAATTTTAAATCCAATGTAAAAGGAGATAATAACGGTCCTTTATGAATTTTGTTTTAATAGTTAATTTCCTCTTTTCCACTCCTTTCTGAGTTTCTAAGAACATTGCCCCTAAATCTACGCCTTCTTAAACAGTAATGCTTCTATGCAATAAGGAGAACCAGCAATGTTTCACAACTCGTAACACTAGAAAGAAATATGCAATCTACTTCAAAAAAGTATACAAAAAACTTGAAAAATCAATAATACGTATG